AACTCTACAGACTGTCGGTTCACACCCCATCACAAGCCAGCAAAACACCCACGAAACAAAGAAAGGTCTGTCACAGCCAAAAAATACACTCCATATATATATATATATATATATATATAAAAAATTAGGGTTGAGCCTCTTGATAAGTCGGGGGCAAAGTCTGATGAAACACTTTGCCAAAACCCTCGTTTGTTGTGCTCTTCTCTCTCCGTCCCTACGGTTTACCGGGCAACCGGGGGAAAAAGTTGTTCTTTTTATTTTTCTTTGTAACCTGGTTTTTCCCGATTTTATGCTTATCTTTTTATAATTTTTTGTTTTCTTTTTTTTTTTTGCCAATTTGCTTCAACGGGTGTTTGTGTGTGCTCTCACTCTCTCCCTCTCTCTCCTCTCCCTCGGCTCACCCTCAGCCTCACGCTCATATATATATATATATATATATATATATATCCTGATGAGTCGGTGAAACTCCGACGAAACAGTTTGTCACAGCCCCTCGTTTGTTGTCCTCTTCTCCCTCTCTGCCTACGGTTTACCGGGCAGTTCTATTTGACGATATATATATATAATATATATATATATATGTATGTATATATATATACAAACAGAACTGTCCGGTAAACCGTAGGCAGAGAGAGAGAAGAGGACAACAAACGAGGGGCTGTGACAAACTGTTTCGCCGGAGTTTGACCGACTCATGAGGAGGATATATATGTACTGTCTGCAGAATCCCGTCACTGATATATATATATATATAATCATATATATATATACATATATCTACATATATATATATATGCAATGAACCCAAGTCGTGGATACAATGTCGACACTGAAAGCCAAGATTATCGAACCAATGATAGATCTTCAACGACAATAGTATCCAGTAAGAAAGTGGGGGGTGAGATAATCATACACGGACGAAGAGAGGTGGGGGAGATTAGACAAGGGAGAGGGATAAGGCCCACTCCTTCTCCGGGATCCTCCTACGACAGCAACCCCACATCAGTAATGATCTGAATACAAATTAGAGACTCAGCCTCCGGGTGCCACGTGGCACCGATCAATACATTAATTAGCGCTAGAGCCTCGTCGTCATGAAGACATCAGGTACGTATTCACAACACCTCACAAGTCCTGATCTCATCCCGAATAGTCACGACCCCTCCTTGAAGTAAYGAAGCCGATGATCAATAACCGGTCGTAAGGATCCGACAGTACGACACGTGGCAGCGCCACGTCAGCAGCAATACGTGGCGACTGCCACGTCAGCAGATCAGAGACAGTCGCCAGCCWGATAGCAAGCCAGCCAGCRGTAATCCACYATRTCAGCAAAATGYCGTCCTTCCTCTAATCTMGCAWCGTCAAACCAAGGYTGCGAGAGTCAGGCGCTGAAAACAGCGTCAAYGCAAGACATCCCGTCCCTCAAAGTCAAGRAGCCAATGCTCTTATAGTGTTGACTCGGGGTCTGATTCCCGGTAGTATCCAACCTCAGCCGTCCAGATCTCCCTGCCTGGAGGGTCTGGATAGATCTGCAACTGTATCTTCTTTGGCCTGGGTCGTAGTCTGGGTACCTGCACTCAACAAGTGAATGAATCTGATCCAAGACCTGGCATGGTACTTTGACTGATAGTTGACTTTGACCTTTGATGTTCCGAAGTCTTGGCGTTCGGTCCCACAGTCGTACGCAGTTTACTCAGGCCGGGGCATGTGTTGGTTACATAGCCCGGCSCAGTCTTCCACAGACTGCGTGGCCTGGGGCTAAGGTTTGGGCCCCAGGTCGACTGTTGAACAGGGTTATTACATATATATATATCGTCAAATAGAACATATATATATATACAGGGTAACCGGTGTTTGGGACAGGCCGAACGCCCGAACCCGAACACCCGAACATATGGGACCCCTTGGGGATGCGTTCGGCCGTTCGGGCCGAACGCGGACCCCAAAAAAAAAAAAAAAAAAAAAAAAACAAGTCATTTAAAAAATCTGAAAGATATCTTATGGAGAAAAATAAATCAAAAAAGATTTTCCTGAGCATTACATCCGAATTCCTTTCCAAATTTGAAATAATAAAAAAATACGAAAAACAAATACTAATAATAAAAATAAATAAAAATAAAAAGAGAATTAAATTTAGTGAGTGCGCGAGCATGTTTTCGACACTGCCATTTTTCTTTGGCATATCAAAATGCCCTGAAAATTTAAAGATTTGCACTTCACATAATGCAAAACCCACTTAAAAAGTTTCAAAAAATAATAAAATTGTTTAGACCCCGAACTAAAGTGAAAACAAAAAGTAAAAAGTGAAAAAATACGTGGGCGAGCACGTTTTGACACCGCCATCTTTGGCGATTTTTAATTCTTATTAGGCTCAGCTAAATGACATGAAAATAAACAAGCATGTACCTTACCTCATAGAGAACTCACAAAAACAAATTCAGAAAAAAATAATTATTTCTAGGCCCCGAAATAATTTCTGGTGGGTGCCGAACGCCGTCAGGTTCGGACCCCGTACGGGACCCCGAACGTCCGTACGTACGGAGGTCTGCGCGGGGACCTCCGTACGTACGGCCTGGTGACCCTGTATATATATATATATATCTGCCTACGATTTACCGACCAGTTTTGTTTGTGACGATATATATATATATATATATCTGTTT